ACTATCAACCATGGTATCCTTCTGAGCCACCTCACTGGGATGGGACTTAGGAGGAGCTGTTTTGCAACGGCTCTGTTACTTCCTGGAGCAACAAACATAGAGAGTGGTACTGATTGATTTCCATTTGAATCTGTGGGCATTGGACTGTGGGACTCCTGCCCTGACCCTAAACCAGTATATGCCATCAGTAATGGACTGAATGAGGGCAAACAAACTGAAATTAAATCCAGACAAGACAGAGGTGCTACTGATTGGTCAGAAAGCAGATCAGGGTATAGGGATTAAATCTATGCTGGATGGGGTTACACTCCCCCTGAAGATACAGGTCTGCAGTTTGGGGGTCCTCCTGGACTCAGTGTTGAACCTGGAGGCCCTGCTTTCAACGGTGGCCAGAATTGCCTTTGTACATTTAAAACTTGTGCATCAACTGTGCCTGCTTCTTCTGGCCATGATGGTACAGGTCTTAGTTATACACTAATTTACTTACTGTATCACAGGGACTGCCTTTGAAGACTGTATGTAAACTTGGATGATCCAAAAATCTATGGCCAGATTGTTAACTTGTCCTTCTGGCAGCAAGCTAAAATCTTTTTATTCAGGCAGATGTTTAAAGAAAAACGTTTTTAAAAGCACACCAGGTGGCTACTGCAAGGTATTAAATTATTTTAACGTAAGTGTTTTGAGTGACTTTAATTGACCTTAATTCTATTTTAAACATGCAACATGTGGATTTTAAATCACATTTTAATGTTGTGTGCTACTTTTTGTTTTGATTAAGGGATAAAAAGTGGGATGCAAATATAAAATAAATATAACAACAACAACCACCACCACCACAATGTACAAGGTCATGTTTAAACGTTGGCAACCTTAATGGGTTATCAGAATACGTATCATTTTATAACATATTTGAGGGACAGGGCCTTCTCAATGGTAGCCCCTCGGCTGTGGAACTCCCTCCCTAGGGATATTAGATGAGCCCCTTCACTCCTGACTTTCCACAGAAAAGTAAAAACATGGTTTTCTGAACAAGCCTATGGGAATCTAGTGCAATAGATAAACACAGAACTATGTGAAATCGAATACTGGAACAGCTTAGACGATGTTTTTGGATGACGAGACTAATAGTGAAGGTAGTGGTTTTATATGTTTTTAAAGGTATGTGTCTTATAATTCTGTTTTAAATGTTTATTGTAATTTTTACATTGTTTTAATAGCATCAAATAGCTGCCTGTGTTGTAAAGCCGCCTTGAGTCACCTTCGGATTCAAGAAAGGTGGATTAGAAATATTGTAAATAAATAAATCATAAATAAATATATTTGTTCAGTTTCTTGGAAAATGTTTTATTCATAAATGTTCATAGCACATGTTTTCATATATCTTGTTTTATGTTTTATAATCTTATCAAATTGTTCATTTTCTATTAACTAACTAGTCAACTAATCAATTCAATGCAACTTTTCTAGGTTTAGCATGAAGGCCTAAGCCTGGTCTTTAAATATAAGGCAAGGGTATGGGGAGATTGAAACCAATTTTGTCTTGAATGGCTGTAAACATATATTGATATGAGTCTAGAAAAATACTTTTGAGGATACAATTCCCCAAATCCTCCAGGCTGTGAGAGTCTAATAGTTGTACTTTCAAAAAAGGAGCTTTTCTAAGCTCTGGTATCGAGAGGGAGTAAGGCTGTTTTTAAAGTATAAGAATTTCTGAATAGGAAGATGTAAATTTATTCCCCAATGAGATCTAGATTAGAAATGTACTACAGTTGGAGGTCTACAGCTACACTGTAATTTCATTTTTATTGAATGCATAGTACAGTACTTTAATGAACATAGAGGATCCCAGTCTCCAACAGATTAGTCTACTGTGTTAACACTACATAATACATTCAGCTTTTTTTTTTTAAAAAAAAATTGAGTTACATATATTTAAATAATTCTATATTATGTTATATCTAGAAGAATGAACTACGTTGGGGAAAGAAGGTTTGTATTCAGCTTTAGAATTTTGATTTGGATACTTAGAAACTATAGAAATTAAAAACTAAAAAATGAAGTCATTCTTAATTACGGTCCAGATTCTTCAGTGTTTTAAGCTAGTTCTTTAAATTGCCATTAAGAAAGCTAATTTCAAATGACACAAGACTGGAATTCTCTGGGCAATACAAATAAAAACAGGGTAACAAAGTTCCTAGCTCTAATGCGTATTGGATACAGTTTTGTTTCTTAAGCTAGTATACCTTTTGTAAGAACTCACATGCCGTGGCAGACCAACACATCTTTTTAGTGCACCTCAGAGCTCAACTACTAGATGGGGCAAGATGATTTTGTAGATGATTAGCCACCAAATCCAAAGCCCTCCTAGATCACTATGGCCAGAGCAAAAATTACTAGCCAGGAAGCAATTTTTCCTTATTTTCCTCCCCTTTGTTCTTGCTGTCAGAATGCGATCAATAGTCCAGTGCTGCCATGAACCTGGGCTGATGAAGTTATGGGTTTTTTGAAGGGTGTCTGTGTTTGCCTACACTACAGGGAGCAAAAAGGCTTAAGAACTTAGGATCCATCGCTTCTTCTATGTTATTTTTATGCTTCGGGCTGCTAAATCCATAAGAGCAACATTGGAAAACTCTTGCCCCATCAAAGAGACTTCTGCCTGCAAAGGGAGACCCACAACATTCATTGGTCCCTTAGCACCTTTTCTTGAAAACTTAGCATGGCTTCCTTTAGCAGTGCCCAAGTGTGTATCCTCTGCTATCCCCACTTTTGCAGAAATTCAGCAGAATGGACAACTCAATTGATGAGTATTTTTCACATAACATTGTGGCTTCTAAATTTGTACCCTGTGATGCTATTGGATTTCAGCTCTTGGAATCCCTTCCACTGGTCATACAAGATTTTCTTAAACTGTTGTCCAAAGACATCTAGGAATCCAAGTTTGGGAACCACTGATCTAGGAGGCCTGCTTTACGGTCATAGAGAAGATTCCTGCTACCCTTGTGTCTTGAAGAGACAGGTTCTAAGCCTGTATATTCCACACCATCTTTGTACAGTGGTTTGCAGTTCTTACTCATATGTGTTTAAATGTTCATTTATCCTACACCCAGCTAACCATTAGGTGTTACATTCAGTCTGTTATATTAAAACACCAGCAATCTACATCACCCTTTTACTTCGATCCCCACCTCAAGTATGTGTGGAGAGATTTTCAAATGTTCACTGACAAATGCTAGCAACGATATCTTGCCCTTTGTTCTTTCCCTACAACTGAAAAGAATTAAGAGCTCAGTAATAATCAGGAAGAGGAAGTTGCCAGTCTTTGAATCTCAGCTGCTTGAGGGCAGGCAGCTAATCCTCTCCCTTCTCCCAGGAGGGATGTGACAGTGGCTTCAGTGCCCAAGCCTGCTTCATCAGAGGCCATATTTATAGAAAGTGACAACCATGCCCTAGTCCTCCTTCATCAGAGCTCAGGATTGTCCTATATCTGGACTCAGACTCCCCGCCACACGCACAGGAAAGGCAGGATGGCTCTGAGAAACAGACATTAAGGGGAACACTTAAAAGATCTGGGTGGGATGATGTAACATTTGTCAAGGTCTATGTGTTGTTGTTTATTTGAGTTATTTATTACTCTTTTCACATGGCAGCAGAATTTTTTAAAAATTCAATACAATATCACATATATAATTCAATTTCATAATTAATTAACATGAGTAATATTCCGTAACTCAAAAATCTTCCATACTTATCTTCTTTTCTCCCATTCTTAAACCCTTTCCTCCAGGAAAAGCTTAACTATTTATTTTAATAACCATTATATTTCATGTGGAAGATCATTTTAATTGTATCTTCCATTTTCTTGTTCTCCCATTCACATATCCAACTAGTTTCCTACAATTTCTAATCCATACATCTTCATTTATCTGACAATTACATGCAATCCTTATTTCCCATATAAAATAAAAATAATCTAATCAGCTTCATATTGTTTCCACTTGCTTAAATCTCTCTTTTGTGCCTCTTTACAACCATATGCTATAACTGCCCATGCAGCTTTTAATAACTGCTTTGTTAAACATCTGTCTTTGTCAAGGTCTGATTGTAAATACTAGAATTCTTTTTCAGCTCCCCTTCCATTGCATTAAAAAAGAGTGATATTGCAGCACATCTAACTAAGACATCAAACAATCCCATCCCTTTGTGTTCTTGTGAGTCCATTAATTAATTCCTTCACAGATGAGCATTTGAGAGATGGACAAGCACTTAATCTTAGTGCCCAGAGGTCTTCTGCTTTTGAATTTTTCACTCCCTCTGAAATATTCTTGAATAATATTCCCACAATCTAATAAAAACTAAACAAAAAAGGAAAATGGGAGGCACACAATTCCAGAAATCTGCCATGTTTTCCAATATGTTTGAAGGGCCAAAATAAAAGTGGAAATCTAGGAACTACCTGTAGATACTGCACTATATACATTAAAATCGCCAATCTGACACTTATAAAGTAAGAAATTGTGTTGAATCAGAGATATTACATATCTCATAAACTATTGATAATGTGCATTAAGGAGTACAGATATTCACAATTGACCTTAATTGGAATAGGATTAAAATGGAACCAAAAAGAAACAAAAAAAGGTATACTGAAAACAACCCTGTGACAATGCGTTGTAGCAGTATGGCATGATTAGCACTGCTGTTTTCTAAAATATTATGTCTGTCCATTTTGAAGTTCACATTTTCAGTTCAGATTTGTTATATATAATTATTTTCGTATGTGACACTGATATTTGTTTTGTTTCTCATAACATTAAATCAAAAAGGCACATTCACTAAGTTGCCCCCATTTTTGCTATCAGAAATTACAGTAGAGAAAATAAGTAAGAATGGCCCTTTGTTGTAGAATGTTTGGACCTGAGAGTGACTGATGGTCTTTACACCAGCTGAAAAGGCTTTCGTCTCTAACTTTTAACCCTCCAATTATAATATCCCACACTTACCATCTTCAGTCTCAGGTTCTTTCACCACTAGTTTCTCATTTTCCGATTCCTGATCTTCCTCCTAAAACAAAAGAGGTAAACATAAACAATGAGGATATAAATAATTTTGTTGTCTGGGGCAGAACAAAAAACATTCTCTTCGGTTATTTAGTCATGTGACAGAAAATTCCACATACTGTACATCTCTCCACATCCCTAACCATAAAAATAATAAATTCAATAGTCAATAGTTAGTATGTTGTCCCTTTATGACAATGAAAACCTTCTGATAGAGGTAGCTGCTCCATTCTGTCTAATGACAGAGCTGGCCTTACATAAAACTGCTACCAAGCTATTATTTAGAAAACTTTTTTTCTAAACAAAAGCACAAAAGAATTATAGACATCATATTTCAGAAATAGAATTTAGCTTAGGAAAAGCTTAGGAAAAAGCCTTCCACATAAAATGAGCCTGGAATTCATGTACACTTTCCTCACCAATGCTCTTACAAGCAATAGGAATAGTCAAATACAATTTAAAGCATCATTAATGTATGACAGAATCTCATTTAAAATACCCTCAGGGTATGCCTGCTATTTCATAAAACAAGACAATTGGAAAGACTAAGGTAAGGATTTTTCAAAAGAAATTTGAATTTCTTTGTGAGGGGAGTCCATATATCCCAATATAGAAATGAAATTACTTTTGTTTTGTTTTAATCACTGTTCTTTAATTTGTTTTGTTTTCTTTCTTTCTTTCCTGCATTTTTAAAATTTTATTTATTAATTTATCAAACAAAGTGTATAAGCACAGATTCTTCCCTCTTTTTACAACATCTTAAACAGAAGAGTATGTTATATTATATAAATTAAAAAATATAACAATTAAAAAATCAAAAAACATCTTTAAGCATATTTATCATTTTTTTTAAACTTTCCATTGCAACTTATACTAAGTATACCTCTAGGTAAAGGTAAAGGTAGTCCCCTGACATTAAGTCCAGTCATGTCTGACTCTGGGGTGTGGTGCTCATCTCCATTTCTAAGCCGAAGAGCCAGCGTTGTCCGTAGACACCTCCAAGGTCATGTGGCCGGCATGACTGCATGGAGCGTCGTTACCTTCCCGCCGGAGCGGTACCTATTAATCTACTCACATTTGCATGTTTTCGAACTGCTAGGTTGGCAGAAGCTAGGGCTGACAGCGGTAGCTCACGCTGCTCCCCGGAATTGAACCTGCGACCTTTCGATCAACAAGCTCAGCAGCTCAGTGCTTTAACCCACTGCGCCACCGGGGGCTCCTGGCGTATACCTCTACCACACATCTTTTATCTACTTATACATGCTTTATTCTTTCCTGCATTTATATACCACTTTTCTCGCCCCTGGGGAGTCTCAAAGCGGTGTACATCAAGTAATGGCAAGATTCAATGCTAAAATATATACAAACCAAAGTATAATTACTAAAACAATAACATAACTATAAATTAAACCATTAAAATAGTATTAAAATAGAACATAAACAGATATTTAAAAAATTAAAACACAGAATTTTATTTGTTATTGTTTTAATTATTTTATGTTATTTTATTTTAAGGAGATCAAACGAGCTTGATTGCCTACCATGTATATTTAATTCTGAAATGGTTTTCATACCCTTGTGCACACACAAAGGCTCCTGACAGAACACTATCTGTTTCTATTCCTGGTGATACTTTCTATGTATGTTAAAGGCAAGGGTTTTGTCCTATTTCTATTCTATAATATGTTTTGGAGAAACCCTTTGGCTCTGAAATTTAGACCCATCCCTGCGACTATAACCTTGCTAATATATATAGCACCTCTGAACATGTACAAAGTTATTTCCCTCATTAATACACACATGCAGTATACTTTACATTTGGAGAGGGTCTGTATTTCTCATAAAATTCCCATAATGCCCTGCATATCCCCTTTGCAGAAGTTAAGACTGCAACCCAAACCGAGCATGCATTCCCTTGGCAACATCCTGCAAAAACAGACCAAAAGGGGGAAAATATTGACATAAAAACTAATAGCATTATTTCACAACTGGTTGTCTTTGTTCACTTTCACAATGTCCATATTTCCAACATCAGGGTTCTGAAAGGTTTCCAAATCCCACAACTGGCATTGTTACTTTCCAAGCTCTGCCCAAAATATACGTCGGATATGATTCAGTTCTTGTATCCAACTAGATGACCACAAAAAAACAGCAAAGTGTTCATGAGCCTGTTTTATCAGACTTGACTTATGTTCAGATCTGAGGTTCGCTTCCCACATCTGCACACATCTGCTCCTTGTACATATGGGAGGGGCACTCCTATGTGTATACACCCAGATACACACACACACTTACTTTTTCGTTAGTGGTTAGGTGCTGGAATGTGCAACACCACGGCAGCAAGCAGCCACACACATCCTCTCTTTGTGGCTCTGCTGTGTCCCTGGAGAGGAGGGGAACAGCCAGTCAGATCCCAGATGGTGTGTGGGCCTGTCTGCTCTGTCCCAACCTGTCTTATCTCCTAGGGTTGATTCAATGGGACAGGGCCTTTGCAGCTGCTACCATTTTGCTCTGTTTGTAGAGAACAGTGCACATACAGAGGAAGAGTCACAGGAGACTGCCAATCTCAATTAGGTAGGCAAAGTCAAGATGGAGATGAGACAGAGAGAGCAAATACTGATGTCAGGGCCATATGTCTCTATCAAGAATTTGGAACACAGAAAAGTAAGGAAAGAGAGAGGTAAGGAAAACAGGAATAATCTCCTTGGGGAAAAAGTCTTGGGAAGTGAAAAGGCTTTTACTAAAACCAGATTTGCTGTCTTAGTACGCCACAGGCCAAATAGGGGTGAATGGTGTCATCAATAAAGAATGTGGGTTATTCATCTGCCCTTTGAAGGATTTTCTGATCCCTGACTCATTCACTAGGCACATGCCCTGAATTACCAACTTCCTACACACACATCTATTTCAGTCTCTGTTTCCAAAATGGAAGCTCCATTCTTCATTCATGTCTTTCCCAACCCATTTTCAGGGTTGCAGGTGGGGTGAGGAGACAAGAAGAGTTGTGATCCAGCCAGCTGGCTTTTCTCATGCATCATTCTGAATAAGTGCCCAAGAAAAAGTGGCTTAGCCCAGCCCTCCCACGCTGAAAGGAATGCACTGGACCAACAAAATGCTGACTCCATATATGGAAGGTTGTTATTCTGAAGCTCTGGCTACAGTAGCATATAGCTGTGTCCAACATTAAACTGACAGGGATTGATCCACATTTACCCCACACAATGTTTTCCAGCTCAATGACATTGGGATGGGAATCATACCACCATTCAGATGTTGAATAAATTCCTAGGATTCCTACTTGGCAAGGCACACATGAGGAATTGCTGTAAGCTGCAGCCCAGCAACATCTGGAGGACAGCTGGATTCTCACCTGTTTTATGTCTCTATTACTCCTCTTTTTATATGTCTGCTTGTGTGATTTTGTGCTGAGAAAGGGAGAAAGATATAGATAAAACTTTGAAAATTTCATCACAGAATGGTGACTTCTATACAACCCAGTGGAATTTACACTCACTAGTTTATGGGATGTTTTGAACTATAGCCCCCAAAATCTTTTACCATTCCCCCTGCAGGATGGGGCTGATGAAAACGATAAATCAAAACATTCATCTGGAACTGCAAATGAGTGGATAATTTGCATTCCACCTGCTTTCTCCTCGCATACAGCAGCTGCTGATAAAATTGTATTCTATCTTATTTTAAATAGGTCTTACTAGTGTCAATAAGAATTTCAAAGGCATAACACAGAACACAGAGTGCTACATTGACAACAATTTTGCTGGAAATAACTCTGTATGGACAGGCTGTATTTTCTCTTTGTGATGTCAAAATGCCTGGGTTGTTCTAAAACGGGAAATGATGTCTTAAGTTCATAGATCTCCATCCTTCCTTTTTTTCCCTCCACCATACCTCACATTAATTTCCACTGTGTGAAAATGATTCTTTCTGCTCCCATTTTGAGTGCCTTCTGATTATAATGCTTTATGAATAAATAACAGCATCCATAAATAAATGCACCATCTGAGGTCAAGTTCTACATTTTTTATGCTGCAAAATATTACACTTCAACTACATGGAAAAGTGGCATTGACAGACCAAAAGTAGGGAAGGCTGGAGGGCAACATGCAACAACTGCAAAACAGATGTGCACATTTTGCCTAATTGACTGATTTTGCAAAACAAGCATTAGTCTACTAGCGTACCTCATGCAATTCTCCCCAAGCAGAATAAAGAAAAAAAGCCTTTGGTTCCACTGCTGATGCTGCAGGTTTTAAAACAGAAGCCCCACATGTGCCCCCCATCCCCTTTCTGGTGACATCCCAGGACTTATTCCTTTAAAAAAAAGAAAAAGAAAAGAAAAGATAGAAAACAGATGAGATTGGACAGAAGAAGTAAATACTCAATCAGGTCTTTGTCTATTTACATACAGCTACTGTTTACTAAAAAAGAGACATTTCCCTTAGAGTTGCCATAAATCTGAAACAACTTGAAGGCACATAATAATATATATGTTTTTAAATAATTTACATAAATCATAGAGTTAGAAGACACCACACCGGCCACCCAGTCCATAAATTTTTTGAAAGTGACAGGGCTACCACAAATAACAATTTGTGTATACTTTCATTGGTAGGAAACCACTTACTGGTTTCCTTACTGCTTTCGTACAGAACTTTGAACCAAGTAAACGTTTTTCCTCAGATTAAGTCCCATTGTTTTCAGCTTCGGGATTGCCGTCTTCATCAGTTCAATGCCTGCCAGTTACGTAATTAAACAATTGCATGTATATTTAGCCAGAAATTGTATATCACATTATTATCTAAGTCAGGCTCTGGAACTATGGTGCTAACTTCTGTTAAGTACAAAATAATTTTGATTTAAAAACAAAATTAACATAAGATCCAACTTATTTCTTAGAGAAAGGTCCATCTGACTTTGTTATGTCCATCTAATATGTAAAGTACGCTGTTTCTTGACCTTCTCACACTTGCAGGTTTCTGAGAA